GTATCCAAGTGAGTGAAATTCTGAACATTAATTCTTCAAGTTAGGAGAGAAACCTAGACTAGGATACTGCTGGGAGTTGAAACCAGAAGTATAGATAAGGTGGCCCATGGAAGAAGATAAAGGGCAAGAAAAGTACTGGAGACCATTAACAGCAGTTAAAGAGTTAAGAAGTAATTTCTACAATAAATAAAGTGTAGGTCAAGTAGTTGAGGGAAGGCCAGAAGGATGCTATGAAAGCCAAGAAAGACATTTTCAAGGGTTGGGGAGGGTATTGCCAGTTAAGAAAAGGTGATTAACTTACATGGAACAACCAATGACTAAGGGAAGGCAGTTCACAGAAGAAAAATAAATGACCTGTAAACAAATGAAGACACATGTAACTTTCCTTACTATTGAGGAAGATAGAAATTAAAAGGAGATATTTTTGCTTATTAGCTAGACAAAATCTTTATAAAGAGTAGCAGTGTTTATTGTTGGCAAGAATATAGGGAAATATTCTCGTGCTTTAAGTTGTAACAACTTTGGAAAACAATTCGGTAATATCTTAAAATTTAAATTGCAAATACCCTTTAACCTAGCAATTCCATTTCTAGGTCTCTATCCTAAAGACATAGTCACATCTGCACAACATGATTACGGTAGTGCTCAGCATGTCTGTAATATTGAAAAATCAGAAACCACCTAAATGGCCATCAATAGGGAAATCATTAAACTGGTACATCCATGTTTTTGGAATACTATGTAGCAGTTCAAAAGAACATGGAAAAACCTCCCAGGTATTGTCAAAATTTTAAAACATAGAATATTACCTTATTTATTTAAATACAGTAAAACTATATTGCAGCAAACTGACATCCTGGTTTTCTCTGAGGAGAGAGGGATGAGGGCAGAGTGGAAGGGAGATTGAAGGGAGACTAGTGTTGTCCCTTTGAATGGTTTGTGAATGTATTTATCTAATTTTTAAAAAGGGATGATTAGTATGGAGAGTTCAGGTGAGAAGGACTTAATATTTTGTGGACTCGGCAGTTAGATAATTGTTCACATACAAGGAATTTTGAGGGGTGGTAAGTGCAAGGGTTATTTACCGTTGGATTGAGAATTAATAGTGAAGAGAATGAACTAATTAAAGCTTCTGTTTGAAGCAGCTTGCTTTAGAAGGAAAATAGTAGATGGGGGTGTGGATACAAGTTGATAATTTTTAAGAAGGTTAAGGAGAGAAAACACAAGCCTGTGTCAGGCTAAAGGACAGTATTGGGAAAGAATAAGCTGAAGATCAGGAGAACTGAGGGATGGCTATCTGCAGAGGTAAAGGTAATCGGGAATATTGATGAGTCTAGATACAAATAAACTGGAGGGGAAGAGGTATGTATGTGAGAAAGTTGAAGGAATTCATAATAATGGCTTCTTGGCTGAGAGTAGGAATGTGGGACACTTGAGTAAGAGGATGAAACTGGCTATTGACAGGAGTGAAAGGACCTGATTAGAGATACTTGGGATTGTTGAAGAGGCTTAGACATTAAATACCATGAACTTAAAAGGTACTAGTTTTTCAAAGTTGTTATATTTTCCCACAAGTCTTTTCTCTGGGTTTAACCATAGAAAAGTTGGTAGTTAAACCAACTCAGGTTTGGTGTTTTGTAGAAAACAAGGGGCAGACACTTAGAGTAATGTAAATGATTGACTGTATTTGCAGGTGTTGGCAAATTACAGCCTGTGAGCCAAATTTATCTTACTACTTGTTTGGTAAATAAATTTTATTATAACAGCCATACCCATTCAATTAAGTATTGTGTATGGCAGCTCTCATGCTATAGTTACATGGTTGAGTAGTGACAGAAACTCACTGGAAAGCTGAAACCATTCACTAATCTAGTACTTTAAAGCAGTGATCCTCAACCTTTTTGGCACCAGGGACCAGTTTGCTCCCTCGCCTGCCACTCACCTCCTGCTGTGCAGCCTGGTTCCCAACAGGCCATGGTACAGTACTGGTTTGTGGCTCGGGGGTTGGGGTCCCCTGCTTTAGAGAAAAAGTTTGCACCTTGAACTACACCGCAGGAGTGAAGTCGGCAGGGTGCATATAGTATCAGGACTAGAAGTCATGGTGAAGTCTCAAGAAGCAGGTTTCAAGTTGACAAGAATGGGAAATCCATAGTAAGATGTAGAAATAGAGGACTCCTGAGATCACCTGGATCTCAGTGTTTTGACTTTGGGGAGGAAATTGAGCAAGGAGTGGAGGCTGAGGTTCATTAGAGTTCAAGTTGAATCATAAGTAGTGTTGGATGATGTAGCAAGAAAGTAAGAGGGTATCTCTTAAGATATCTGACAGGTAACCTGCCAATACAAAAAACCTAGTTCACTTAGCTAAGATCTATCTAGGTGTTTTCCTCATCCATGTTTATTATTTCAACTGATATTCCCAGTTTAAAACACTGAGAATGTTTGCATTCTAGTTTATTTTCTGCTCTTTTACACTATTATTAAAACTAGTCATTTAAAGTAGAATTATCTGTGAAGAACCAGAGTACTGTTAGAAAATATATAAAAAATATAAGCTATTTGTACAAAGCATACATTTCTTTGGATTTTTAAAATTTACTCTTAATATTTTCCTTTTCACTATAGGTATATGAAAGTTATCCTGCTTATGATTTAACTGAAAGAAAAGGTTTCATAAAAACAACTGTTAAAGAGGTAAATATGTCTACCTTTTCCAATTTTGATCATTTTTGGCATAAGACAAAAAATACATATTCAAATACTGCATATTTTTTAAAATATGACTAAATATCACATTTGACTAAATATCAAATTTCCTCAAAATAGATGGGGAAAGATATTTTTCATTCTCATTTTAGAACTTAAAAATAAAGCCTGAAAATTAGTAACAAAACATGACCTCAGATGATGAGATGTGGCTCAGTCTACAATACATAATTGGGCATCTCAGAGGCGCACTCACAACTATTTGAGCATGTTTCTGTCCACCAGTCAAAGAGAAGAGGAAATCAACAGCTATGGTTTATGCTAATCCCAGCTGATTTCCCAAAATCACAGTAAAATAAAGTTTTAAAATGAAGTGTAAGGTCTTACGACTTATGTGTACCTAATACTGTATGTTGGGGAAATAATTTTCTCTTTCATTACAGCTAATTTCTTGAGAGAAGACAGAGACAGATGACTTGTTCCATGGATTTAAGGATCTGATTTATACCATTATACCAGCAAAGAGAATGTATTTCCTTTTCTAAATCCTTGCAAGCATTGTCGGTAGGACTTATTGCTGACTTTTTTATCTTGTGTGTTAACGTAAATTTGTTTGCCATTTTAAATTGCATTTCTCTGCAGCTTTTAGTTTAAAATTTTGCATGGCAGTAACTGCTCCTTGCCTTTGTAGTTGTATTTTGTACATTTTGGATTTCTTTATATAGGGTCGTAGATTCTTGAATTGTTGTAGTTTTTAGTGCATTTAATATTAGCTTGACATACTTTTAATCAAGTAGAACAGGAACTTATAACTGGCATTTATACATGCAGAACAATTTCAGTATTTAGTATATGAAATATTTTGAATACACATCTCTGTCAGTGTAAAATCTCAATGGCGGTGTGTTCATCATATTAAGAATGTATAAGCTTCAGCTGTCCAGATGACTAAATTGGAACTTTTCTCCTGCATGTGTATATATGTCAAATTGTCAGCATGACAAGTGACAGATGTTATTTTTGTATTTTAAACAAATTTGTTGTATATAGTTTTTTTATTTCTTTTGTGCAGATCAATTTTTAAACTCATATAAGTAGATAACTTTACAAACTATGAAATGTCAGTGTTCAGCCAGATGGTATCACGGAGCAGTGAAAGTCAATTCATCGAAAACACGAAGACCAGATCTCTGCTTTGCCCTGAAAGTGTCATAAATTTGTAGTTTGTTAACTCTGCAACAGTATCTATAGATGTTTTTTATTAAGGATAGTCTAAATTCAACATGTCAAAATTTAAGAAATTTGCAGGAGAGTGGGATTAAGTACAAGCATATTTGGTTTATGATAAATGGCTGATTTTTATTTACTGCTTTTGCCCATATAAAATGCTCATATTTTCCGGGAACCTGACCACCTTTATAATTATGACAAAGTACCAGGAGTAATGCCAGAAGATAATGTGTAGGCAACAGAGGGTTATCTCTGACAAAGTATTTCTCAAAAGTGATAATAGACTTATTTTTAACATTAAAGAAACTTATGTATTTGTGGACTTAGTTGGGTTTTAAAATTTTTTGGCCAATCAGGATTCTAGGTGACTATATGGACCACCTTGAATGAAACTAATTTGTCTTTTAAATTGACTGTCTTAATCAGTTTATTAAATAATCTCTGAATTTTAAAGTGAAATATGCTGCTTATGAGAATTAGGCCTTTGATAAACCAATTGAGTGTTTAAAATAAAAATCTTTGCATCATTGAACAGTATATAAAAATATGTCGACTGTTAACAGGTATTTTCAGTTTTGACTTGTTTCTTGGTATTAAGACATTAGAGAAAGGTACACTTAATACAGATGAATGGAATAAACTAAATGAAACCTAAGAATTGGCCTTTGATTTTAAATATTTAATTTGTTCCTATAAACCTTGTCAATAAAAATAAGTCAGTGCTTTGTCTCTTTCATTTGATTTAACTTACAGGTTTCTCTATCATTTCTCTATGTGAGGATTTCAGAATGGAGTTTATTTAAATGTATTTATCCCCATAGCCTATATAATTTGGAGTGTTCTTACACTACAGAGAAATCGCCTGGGAAAACTAGAAGTGATCTCAAAAATGTAAGCTGATTAGGTTCAACAATTAAGATCATTTTACTTGAATGGGGATAAAGAATTAATTAATGCCTGTGACCTAAAACATCTAAAGAGGGTTCAGAAGAGAAGGGGATTGAGCTGGTATGAAAGTTTGTGATGAAGATGTACTTATTTAGTGTGTTTTTATCACTACAATGCACTGTATTTGAAAAACAAGTCTAGTTTTTATTAAGTAGTTTTATACAACCAGCTGTTTACAATCTGAAGTTAAAGTGTTGTATATTCACTGCTACTCAATTATAAAACCTTCAGAACAATGAAAAACATTCAGAGTAACTCAATAAAAGTACCATGGTTCCTTGAACAATATGTCAGATGTCACTTGAGACAGGAAATGAGGGTTTTTTAAATATATATTTACCATTCTTTATTAAGTAGATTTTTCCTTAGTTTGTAGCACAACTTTTATGCCGAGGACTAAGGTAAAAATTTACTGGGAACCATTTCAAACGTAAAGTATTTTGCATTTATCACTTAACACATGCTATTCTTTAAACATTTTAATATATAACACTTTAAAGCAGAATACTTCCCAAATAGTACCATTGAGTCTCATAACCCAAATGTCAACATTTTTCTGTTAACTTTGAAACTACTATACCATATTTTCATTTATTTTGATGGGGAGGGAGGTGTGTCTAAGTTCACCATACAATTTTTATATATGATACTTTATAAGCTGACATTAAATTTTAAAAATACCTAATATTTTGAAAAGTGGCTTTAAAGTCATTAAAATAAAAGCACTTAGGTTATCCATATTTCTAATGTAAACTGAAATTTCTTGGCAAGATAAGCATCCTAAAGACCCTGAAACCAGTGTTAATTTTTAAATGACATTTTTTGGCCATGAGTGAAAAAAAAAATTTTTGCCATGTTCTCAGGCTCTTATGATATGGCTTATAAAATGTGTAATATTTACCAGGATATCTGCAGTTTTCCAGTGGACCTGCCTATGGAATACTGAAAACAATTCCGTAAAAAATATTCCTATAGATTGAATCAGTTATTTTAAAAAGAGGCTTTGAGAAGAGGCTTTTACTAATTTATTCTAACAGGACATTTTTGCTAGTGTTTGCCAAAATTAAGGCTATTTAAAATGTGCCATCTGCCCAAACTTGGCTCTTATGAAAAATAACCATAGTCTCTGTCTAAAGTATGAAGACCACACTATCTCTGCCCCATTTTCCATGGTACAAACTTGTACTGTTCAGGGAATTGAAAATTTTGCTGTTTTGCCAATGAGTGCATAAATCTAAAATGTTTTGTCACAAAAGATACCTGAATTTAAATTTCTTTAGAACACCCAATGAGAAGAAATGTGTATAAAATAGTCTAGAAGCTTCATTTACCTTTGAAGAGTTTGTGCTGTATCCAAAAAGGAAAGATTTCTATCTAGATTTTAAGTAAAAGCTCAATATTGGAGCTATATAAAAGTCTTAAGGCTCACTGGCAAAGAAAATTGTCATAGAAAATACATGGCTTTATCTGGTTTTTAAATGATTCCTGCTTAATTGACTTGGTTTCTCAATGTGTGAAAGTTGATGGGCCAAACAGAAATTCAAATTTAAAGGGGATCTCCAACCATGAATCATATCTGAGGTTTTTAGTTCAAAATTTGCCTTATCCTGAAATCCAGATTTAGTGCTAGTCATACTTGTAGAAAATGCAATTAAATATAAGTGCTTATAAAATGATTCTTGGGCCAGTGTTTTCTGAGTGGTGACATGGGTTTACATTATCAAACTACCTTAGAAACATTTCAGTTTTGCTATCCAGGGAGGGTTTTGTTGTTTGATTTTATGAAAGTGAGGTTAAACGTGTTTCAAACTTTCCCACGGGTACAGAAGAAAGCTGGATCCAGACAAATTCTATTTAAAATGCTGCAATCTTGCTTGCTTCTCGAACACCACTCAAATATGCCCCTGTAACTGTTTGTGGAAAATGCCTGTTTGTTGCCTGTAAGAAAATAATTGCATAATTTGAGATCACGTATCAGGAATTCAGATGATAATCAAAAGGTAATTAATACAAGCTTATACTTTCTCCGATCCTCCTAAAATAGACTGGTGCCACTAATGTGTGCTCATATTAACATCAGTCACCCATCATAGCACTTGACCTTTTCTGGTTTTCTCACCATACTTTTCCAAGTGCACTCATTCTGCAATACATTCAGCACTCCTGTGAAGAACTGTGTGGCATTAAGATCTGTATTCCAGTTATTGGAATTAAGAATAAGACAGCCACTCATCAGACAAGTAATGTTAAATCATTAATAAATGAAACAAGCACAAAAAGAGAATTCACCTGTGGTTGGAGTTGTTTTGCTAGATGGGTGGAACAAAAGGATAGATGAGGTACTAAAAGGATAGACCACTTAAACAGGAAGAGAAAAGTCAAAAGGTTTAGGGCTGTCAATGGGAGAACCTCACTTGCAAGGAGGTTGTAGTGGAAACAATAAGGACAGGAAAGTTGGCTTGGGATGTGGCTATGGGGAAGAGTAGCTGAAATGGAGTGAGCAGGTCATAGAAAATTGAAGATAAAAAGACAAAATTTCATGTGAACTACTCCAGGTTCCATGTCACCTAAATCGATGGCTGGGGTGGAAGGGAAAATAGCCAGGTGACTAAAACGTAAATAAATAGGGGAAGAATATGGAGGTCAGCAGGAAAAAAAAGAGTGACAGTGATAGGAACTGCAAAGGATTTTATAAGAAGGCAAGGCAATAACTATTAGAGCAGAAAAGGAAAGCAAAAAAGATTTTGCACGCTGTCCATGATCTGAGGCCACATTAGCCTAATATAGCCATCTCTTAAAAGCAGCTGAGAGTTGCTGCCTGGAATGCAGCTATTATGCTCTGTTCCTACAAAGTCGGCTCTTCACAGGCCAAGGAGTAATCAGCTGGCTTTTAAATGACAGTCTTGTGATCATTCAAAAAATCAAGAGAAAAAAGGACTTTGATAAACCTGGAAGACCTGCATAATTCCAAACCATAATGTACAAATTATGAAAGCAGATGAATAAGTACTGAAATTCACTTTACTAAGTTTGGAGGGTAGGGCAGGATAGGGTGATAACAAAAGCAAGCCATATCACCCCAAAGAATTCTTTAAAAATCTGGGCCACTGGGAGCATGAGGAACCATGGAGGAAGAGGTTGGGCATGGGTAAAAAGGATTAAAGACTATGAAGAGCATTTTGGTCCCTTACCAGGTTCCCTACTCCCACTATAACCCCCAGGGTATCTAAGGAAGAGGGCAGGGGTGAGGGGCCAAACAACGGGATTACGTAAAGTCTTCATAACTAAGATGCTTCTGGCTCCCAGAATGCCAGGAGTTGAGGTTTTACCACGTAAATGAAACATGTTCTTAGAGAAAAGAGCTATAGATACTGATTTGGGGATCTAACCACCAGTTGATCTTGCTGGAGCTTTCAATTAGCTTTTTAAAAATGCCTCAAAGCTTCCAATCAAGATGGCAGAGTAGGTAAACACTGTACTCGCCTCCTCTCATGACCACATCAAAATTACGACTAATAAACAGAACAACCATCATTGAGAATGGCTTTAAGTCTAGCTGAACAGAAGTTCCACAGCTAAAGATATAACTGAAGAAGCCACGTAGAAACTGGTATGACGGTTAGGGACAGAATGTGCTGGTCCCACACTCACGGGTGATTAAAAATTGGGAGGGATATCTCGGTGGCTGAGGAGCAAGGGGTCCCAGCCCCATACCAAGCTCTCCAGCCCAGGGTTCCAGTGCTGGGAAGAGAAATCGTCATAACTTCTGGCTGTGAAAACCAGTAGAGATTGTGGCTAGGTGAGATGGAGGGCAGCTGGAGTCCCAGGTGTTCCTTCTAAAGGGTCCATGTACAGAATTACTGATGAACATACTCTGAGCTCCAGCGCTTGGGGCAGCTGCTCAAAAAGTGCCAGGGACATACAGAAGGAACTGAATTATCTGGCTTCAGGGTGTGAGGGCTAGAGGGACAGCTTTCTCCCAGACAGAAGTGCTAGCAGAATCCACTGTTCCTTTGTTGAGCTCCTCCCACAGGTAGCACGCAGATGCAAGCTGCCACTGTATGAGTCCATTAACTTGGCTAACCCACCCAGGTGATTCCTTGAGGACCCCCCACGCCCGCCCCCAAATTGTGGGCCCACACAAGCTGCTTCCAGTGGATTTTCCATACAGTTTGTCTTAGCTCATGGAGATTTCCTAAAATCTCTCAAAGGATCACAAATTCCAAACAAGCAGCATCCAGCCTTGGCCTGCTTTGTGGCTTGCTTAACAGCCCCAAGCCCTGCAATAGTGGCAGGTGGCCCTGGTACACAGCTTGGCCTCTCTCAGGCACCTCCAAGCCCAGGGCAAGTGGCAACCATCTGCAGATTACTCTGTAGCTCATACCAGGTGGCCCCAGTGGCTGACCTTGGCCTGCAATAGAGTACCGACACACCCAGGGGCCAGCTTCAGATCACACCGGAGCACCACCCAACCACCTCCACAAATGACACACCCAAAGGGCAGACTGGATGGGCACCAGAGCCCCGCTAAAGCAAATCCTGCTTCATAGGTAAACCTCTGCACAACAGCTCCTCTATTGTAGTCACAGCCAGTCTCCACAGTCAAGCAGCCTGAGGGTCAATCTCTCCCACTGACATGCAAAAAGACACACACAACCCACACAAGGGACACACACTTGGAGGACTTGGCTTAGGTGATCAGGGAGACTGCGTCACAGGACACCTATTACATATGGCCACTCTACCAAGACTAGGAGACAAAGCAGTCCTACCTAATACACAGACACAAACGCAGGGAGGCAGCCAAATAGGGAGACAAAGAAACATGTCCCAAATGAAAGACGAGAACAAAACTCCAGAAAAAGAACTAAACAAAATGGAGATGAGCGATCTACGAGATGCAGAGTTTAAAACACTGGTTATAAGGATGCTCAGTGATCTCAGAACTTCAACAAAGAGGTAGGAAACATAAAAAAGGAGATAGAAAACATGAAAAAGAACCAGTCAGAAATGAAGACTACAATAACTAAAATGAAGAATACATTAGAGAGAATCAACAGTAGATTAGATGAAGCAGAGGATCAAATCAATGAATTGGAAGACAGTGTAGCAGAAAATACCCAATCAGAACAATAACAAAAGAACCCAAAAACAGGACAGTTCCAGGGGCCTCTAGGACAGCATCAAGTGTGTACCAACGTTGTCTTCAAAGAGGTACCAGGAGAAGACAGAGAGGAAGAAATTGAAAGCCTACTGGAAGAAATAATGACGGAAAACTTCCCTAATCTAGAGAAGGAAATGGACATAATAGCCCAGGAAGCACAGAGTCCCAAACAAGATGAACCCAAAGAGGCCGACACCAAGACACATTGTAATTAAAATAGCAAAGGTTAAAGACAAGGAGAATCTTAAAAGCGGCAAGAGAAAAGCAGTTACGTACAAGGGAGCTCCCATAAGATTGTCAGCTGATTTCTTAACAGAAACTGTGCAAGCCAGAAGGGATTGGCATGAAATATTCAAAATGATGAAAAGCAAGTACCTACAACCAAGATTACTCTACTCAGCAAAGTTATCATTTAGAATCAAAGGACAGATAAAGAGCTTCCCAGACAAAAAAAAAAAAGCTAAAGGAGTTCATTGACACCAAACCAGAATTATAAGAAATGTTAAAGGGACTTCTTTAAGAAGAAAAAAAGATAATCTTTTATTATTCATCAAAAATATGAATAATAAAATGACAACTAGATATCTATCAACAATTACTTTAAATGTAAATTGTAAATGCTCTAATCAAAAGACACAGGGTGGCTGAATGGATAAGAAAATGAGACCCTTACTTATGGTGCCTACAAAACACCCAGTTCAGATCAAAAGACACACATAGACTAAAAATAAAGATAATATAAGTTCCAATATATGTAACAGAAGATCAGAAATAAGAAAAATGAGGGGAGAAAATAACCAGAAGTAAAATCTAGGACTGGAGGATATGAGTTTCTAGATTCAGGGAACCTAAAAAAAAAAAAAGCATAAAAAGGATTAGAAATCAAAATAGCAAAACATTTCTCAACAGAAGTAAACCAAGAAAGAAGGCCACTTCACAAGCATTAGGATGGCTATTATCCAAAAACAAAACAAAAAAGTTATTGAGGATGTGCAGAAATTGGGAACCCTTTTGCACTGTTGGTAGGAATACAGAATAGTGCAGCTGTTGTGGAAAACAGTGTAGTGGTTCCCCAAAAACTTAAAAATAGAATTAACATATGATCCAGCAATGCAATGCCTTTTCTGGGTAAATAACCCAAAGACTTAAAAGGATCTTAAAGAGAGATGTGCATTGTTCATAGCAACATTGTTCACCCTAGCCAAAAGGTAGAAACAACTCAAGTGTCCATGACAGATGAATGGATAAACAAAATGTAATATATAACGGAATATTATTTAGTCTTAAAAAGGATATTCTGACACATGCTACAACTTGGATGAACCTTGAAGGACAATGCTAAAGTGAAATAAACCAGTCACAAAAGGACAAATACTTTATGATTCCACTTATCTGGTGACGTCCCTAGAACAAATACTTAGAGTTAGGAAGTGGTAGCTGCCAGGAGCTAGAGTAGAGGGGAAATGGGGAGTCATTTAATGGGTAGATTAAAAAAATAAATATGAAAAAAAGAGAGGGATCTAGAAAATAAAAATCTCCAACCCTGGAAAATGCTGAGGAAGAGATGCTTGCAGGAGACAGCTCTGCAGGAGTCCCAGAGGTCAACCAGTGCAGACTTAAGCAAAGGGAGGAGGCTGCCAGGATATGAGATTTTAAAAACTGGACAAATGCCAGCTCACAGGAATTCAACTATGATCAGGGACAACTGAGGGGTGGGGAGTCTTTAGGACAGGTACAAAAAGATTTGAGCTAATGAAAAAAAGAGCTATTATGATTGTCAAGAAAACAAAGCTGTGTAAGAACAGAATCAATGAACACTTTGGCTCAGACATAAACATTCACCTAGCCACATCATAGAAATGCTGATACCAACTTAATTAAGTGCGAAATAACCATATTGCAAATGGGCTAAATCTTTAAACCTGGTAAGAAGTCAGTAGATAATGTCTAACTTGTTAAATCAGAAGACAATGTAAATATTTTAAAACATGAAGTAAATTCCGGAGGAAACAGCAGAAAGAATGAAAAATAGTTGCTCTGAGAGTTTGAGGATGTTGAGGGGGCATCTGCCGTTTGTCGTCATAAGACTTGACAGTATTTGACATTGTTTTCTTAAACTCTGAACATATATCACTTTAAAAAGAAGTAATCAAAATAAAAGTAACTGCATTCAGGATTAGGATACACACCTCGCCTGCAAAATAGATGGTTCCTTGTATTTCTTCAGCAATGATATCGTAGGCTTCACCGCTCCCACCTGTCTTCACAAAACTGTATGCCATCTGGATCCAGGGGTCTGTGCTCCACCGAGTGACAAAATACTTTGTGGGATCTGGGACTTCCTGTGTGAAGTTGAAGGAATCATAAAATAGGATCGAGAGGGCCTTAGACATGATGCAATCCCAAGTATAAATATACAGTCCTCCCTCCCATTAGAAACTGAGTTAATTCATGTAGCAATTCTCGGTATGTTCCTCCTATTCCCCCCTTACAACCCTACCCCATATCTGTGCACCATTCTCTATCCCCTGCCCCAACTCTGCAACCTCCCCCCATGTATGTCTCACTCCTACACTTTGTCCTTCTACCAGACACACATTCCCCCCACCTACAAAGGGCCATCACCACTGGCTAAAAGTTCGAGCAATCCCTTTCCCATCAGTTAGCATGTGCTGGAGAGATGGTGGGAAAGGGCTCTGGACCAGTAGCTAAGGGAAGGGTGGGGGTCTAGGACCTCTTGGTTGGAATTCTCAACAAGCTCGTCCGCAAAATGGCTGCCCAAAGATATGTTTCACACTCACTAAGTTAAGTTGTAAATCGTTTTGTGGTTTGGCCTCTGGCAAGCACCAAAAAATATTTCTATAGAATCTATGTGCTAAGTTGTGAATAACTAATTTGAAAACAAATTTTTGAACAAAAACTCCAAACTAGGGACTACTGTGAGATATAATCACATCATGTAAAATAAGCAACACTTCCTAGGTGCCTCTCTTTCTCTAATTTATGTAACTTTTGGATCATTTCATTCTTTCGACTTCTGCTTCTTTATTTGAACATGATGCAAGCCACACTACTAATAAATCTCCAGAAAATGTGAGATATAGTAAATTGGCAAATAAAAAGTACCTTGAGCTCCTTGGAGAAAAACATAAAAGAGACTAACTGCCTATGTAGGGTATGTGAAAATTCTGGACAGTGTCCCTTCAAAAGGAAAGTTGTCACCAAAGCCTGCTAGGGTTTGGGTAAACACAGAGTGGAAAATGCTGAACCTTTTACATCCTTAGGAAAGAGGGGGTATGCATGATGTGAGGAAAAAGGAAAGGAAGACAATAGTGTAAAAGGAAGTATAGGGTACTATTATGGGCTACATTTATGTCCCCCTAAAATTCATATGATGAAGCCCTAATCTCTACTACTTTATAATGTGACTGTATTTGAGAAAGAGCCTTTAATGAAGTAACTGGGTTAAAATGGGGTCATTAGAGTGGGCTTTAATCCCGTATGCCTGGTGTCCTTATAAGAAGGAGATTAGGCCACAAGTAACACAGAGGGGTGACCATGTGAGGACACAGCAAGAAGGCAGCCAGCCATCTGTGAGCCAAGGAGAGAGGCCGCAAAAGAAACCACACCTGGTGACATCTTATCTTAGACTTCTAGCTTCCAGGATTGTCAGAAAATAAAATTCCATTGTTTAAATCACCCAGGCTATGTTATTTTGTTATGGCAGCCCTAGCAAAATGTAACCCAGGTACTTAAGTGGGAAGTTGGACATTGGAAGAAAAAATCAGTGTGGCCCACTGCCTTGATTCCTTCCATTCTCAGTAATGATAGCTTGCTTTGTGCTCCATCCCACTCTGAAGAGCACGCTAAGAAAATAGTAGGCCTGTCTTTCTCATTTCAAAGAGGGTTTCTCTGACCTGCTCCTTGAATAGTTCCCGGAGCGTGGCCATACACTGCTGCAGCACCTGCTTGTCGTCCAGGTTCCTAATGGATGCCACCGCCTCCCCAGCAATCACTGACATCAACACACTGTGCTTCTTCTGGAGACATGAAAGGGAAAAGCAGCTTACACTTTTTTGCTTTTGGTGCAAAAGTCTCTAAATGCATGGTTCCAAATAGATGACCTCATTCTCACAAATTAAATTTCGGTATTTCCCACTCTCCCCTATCTTCATTTCAATCACTGGTCGATTTTCCTCACAAACGCTCATTATTTATCTATATGTTTTATTGTTCCCTGCTGAAAAAACTCAGGAAGCCACATAAATGTCAATTTCAGGGTTCTCCTGGCTTTTCTCCTATAAGCACTTGTTTTACAACCTAGTGGAACTAGGTTGAGAAGGGAAGTCTGTGAATTGAATAATGAAAAGAACTTTCTCAAATGGTAAAGAAATTTTGTCCCTGGCTCCCATGTGAAACCTTTTAAGATAAAGTTTCTTGGGACAGAAAAAAGAAACAACTGGAATTCTTTTGTATGACACTACCACAGCTTTCAAGTCCTGGATAGGCCCTCCCCTCTCCTTCATTCCCCACCAATCACATCTGTCAACACCAAGATCCGCCCTCACCTGGGCCAATCATATCCCACCCTTCACCAGGGCTACAGGAAGACCCCTTCCAGAGTACTTTCAAGTGTCACTTGTTACTGTGCTGTCGCAGACTCCTCTGAAGAGGAATTATTCCCCTATGAGCCTGAAATAACAGTTTCCACAAGTGACTAATTCATTTCCCATAGAACAACGTTAGTCCTTCAAGAAAATATGGCAGATATTGGGACTGCTATCCTAAAGGAAAACACTCCAGTCCAAGTATCCTCCCAGAATATAAACATATATCCAGTGTCTACAATGCCCATTAGTTTCTGAGCTTTACATGTGAATATACCACACCAAATTTTAAACTGTAATAAGAAAATTCAAACCACATTTCACTAATAATTTTACCTGGGGATCCATATCATAGAATACAGCAAAAAGCCCTCGCTTGCTGGCACTAGGAGGGACGTGACCAAAAAAGTCAGCCCCTTGAACTTTACTGTCCCAAAATCTATAAGGAAATTGCAAGGCAATCTGCAAAGTGAGTAAAAGAAAGATGGTTAAGAGTTTCTTAAATTAAAAGTACGGCACTCTCTAAGAAGCAACCTATAGCTCTTAACTAAAAGAAAACAAACTTCAATACTTCCTTTCCATTCTCCAACCTCCTTTCTTCTCTCCACAAGCATCTGGCCTTTATGTTACTGAGACCTATGCTCACACGGATAACGGTGAGACCCACTGACAACCTCGAGGCTAATCTGAAAATGCAAAGCATTCCTGAGACTTGGTTTGGAAGTTTATGTGCATAAGATTAATTCTGACTCCTCAGAGGTCTGCCAGTATCTACTGCACCACTGGCAGATTCTGCTAAAATAAATTTTAAAGGCAGAGGAAGTAAAACATGCTCCTCATTGGGGCCAATTAATGGAGAGTAGACATGGAAAGCAAAAAAAAAAAAAAAGAGAGAGAGAATTGTTTACTTATATATCAAGTTCAAATTTTAAATAAGATTCATCCTTCTAAAGTCATAATTCACAGATTTCAGCCAGCTCTCCTCCTTGTGTTTTCATAATACCCTTTTGTATTCTGTATAAATAATTATTCAAAGGAAATCTTCAAATTTTATTTGGATTAAAAAATTACCCACTACTTCTCAATGTCAGAAGCGAAGGAACGCCTGTCATCTGATGTTAAACTCTTTAGTTTTGAGGCTTAAGTAATCCAGTCACCTTTTCAATGATGCCGGCACCTAAGCTGTTGATAGCCTTCATCTTCTTGTCTGACAGTGGTGGATTAAACTGAATGGCACCTTTCTGCAGTAAGGCCAGTGGTACAGTGACTAATACCTGTGGGAAATAATTAACAGTTAACATACAAACAGCAACTGAACCTAATACCACAACTACTCGGTGAATACATTTCCAGGAAAATTTCAACGACTAAAGAACATTCCTTTCCACTGCCAGTCATGATATTGTGAACATCCCATGTTGTTATATTCGTAAGAACAAGGCCTGCATGTACAGTTGTGCAGGTTGTTCATTGCACAAAGGTGCCTGGCTGAGCAGAAGTGACAACCACATGGAAGATCTTGCAGAATGGTCTTGATGGTTTAAAATAACCCCAGGTAAGAAGAATCAACAGATCTCAATCCTGAAAAGCAGTGCTATAAGAGAAAATGGATCTAAATATGGAGTCAGGAGACCTAGATTTGTGTACCATTCCTGACACCTGCTAATGTGTGGCCAAGGTAATACTTTGAGGTAATCCCAAACCTCAAAGGATCGTGATATGCTTAAAACAAAACCCACCAATATACATCATTATGCTTCATAAATGGTAAAGCACATCACAAACATTAGGGATTATTATAATCATGTAAAGCCACATAAAATTTTTTTTGAGGAGGAAGCAATTTACTGCAGTGTCTCAAATGGCTTACAGAATCATTTAGTTAACAGGTGAAGTAACAGATGCTAACAAAGCCTTCAAGAATGACTCTCAAAAGTCACATCACAAAACCAAGCCATCAAAGAAACTTGCTGTCTCTCCACACAATCACAAAGTTTCTGGCTCCAGAACTATGTTACCACTGCCACAGTAAGAAGCCATTACTACTGCTACCAGTTCTAGAATTGGGCCACTTATAGAACAACCTGTACCAGCAAAATAAGTTCGTCATGCTCTGCCTCTTGACTCCCTCATAGGTAATGGGTGGATCCTGGGTCCTCTACTGTCTCTACTGCAGAAGAATCCAACACCTTGACCATGTTGCTTATCAGCAGAGGCAGCAGAAGTGAAGTAAAAGCTGTACTGTACCTTCCAAATTAAGCAAGTGCATCTTATTTAGAACTTCAGCTACAATGGAGTCTGGGAAGGTGAGAGAGAGAGGAGAGGGAGAAGAAGATGGGGAGGGGGAT